CACTTGCGTGAACTTCTACACATGACTCCATCCTCCTGGTATGGTATGGCCGCTAAAGTTCCCAGATATCAACCCTGTTGTTGTGGACTGATGTCAAGGTGGCAATAGCCAGATGTAAGCCGACATCAACCATACAACCAAAGATGCCAAAAACTTGTTGACTCAAAGCCACGACGCTGGTCTGCAATACTAGAAATACAGATTAGGCAGCTAAATTCTAAGTAATTTCGTTAAAAAAAAACAACATCCAACTTGAAAAAGTAATAAAAAAAAATAATATTTTACTTTCGGGTTTAATTTGTTACACTATCAAGTTTTTGACCGCCAAAATTCGTCATAAATTTTATTGATATATTTATAATTCATTGAAATGAGTTAAACAATGAGCTTTTTTTGTGATTATCTTACTTACTGTTCAGGCTTTTATAGAATGAAATATATTTTTTTTTTATAAAGGCGATTCCGCATACTTTTTAACAGTTCCGTTTTAACGGTTGCACACTACTGAGAATTTGACCGCAGCTGTATACATAGATATGTATTTATTTAACACACATGGCACACATACATTTATTTAGTTTTTACACACTCAAATGTGATCTCAGTATCAACTGTCGTTAGAGCAAAATTATAGAAGATTTTTTTACAAAATGAACTTGTGGGCAATTAACCTCCTGCGCTCCCGAAAAGAAAGCATTTCATGCAATACTTTTTGTCATAATCGTGACTCGCAAACGAAATGAGCACTTTGTCTTCGCTATTGTAGCCCTTGATACCCTGTTCTGATGTGAACCGTATACCAGAGAGGGCGTACCACACAAATAGTTAGAAGGGGCAAGGTCTGGACTATATGGCGATTGAGGCAAAACATCCCCGCTGTTGTTTTCAAACTAGTTTACAACCGATTTTAAAACATTAAGCGGATAGGGGTCACAACTCGTGCCTAGTCGCAAATTACGGACGTTTTTCGGCAATCACTCGCTTCGATTTGAAGAATTGTTGACAATAGTGTTCTTCATTAATGGTTTAAATAACCTATTTTTTTCTGAAGCTTTGAAGTGCCGTATATAGTAAACCTCATTTTGCTTAATAAATAATGATCATATATTGGCTAATATCTCGGCTAAACTCTACCCAATAAATTGATATCTTCATAATCAGTTTCTTGTTTGCCAGAACGTAAATTCACAGTGGCTCCAAAAAGGCGACAGTTTCGAAGAACCACATTTCCTTTGTTAAAAGCCAAGGCTTACCTGATTTGTGCTTAATTTAGTTTCCGGCATACGAAACCATTTGTAATACATTCATATGTATGTACAATATATACAAAATTTTAGATTATATACTTATAAATATTTTATAATTTCAATAAATAACTATATTTAAATAATTACAATATCTTTAATCTTAATAGTATTAAGTCACGCACAGATAACAGCACTTATTGCAATCACATACAATTCCGTTCCACCTCCTGGTTACGGATACTTTTTAAGTGCCTTTTCAATGAAACTATAAACCTTGCTTATGTCTGTGTAAACGCCCGGATATTTGACACGCCCACAACCCATACCCCACGAAACGATGCCAGCCTGTTTACCGTTGCATATCATTGGACCGCCAGAATCACCCGAACACGAATCCTTTCTGCCCGGTTCCGAAGCGCACATCATATATTGTGTAATAGCGCCGGTACCGCGATATTTGCGCTGACAAACTGCCCGACTCACGACAGGCACTTGGATCTCTTGCAATTGTCGTGAGACGACGCCGTTTTCTTTGGTGTAACCATGACCAATAACCAAACAACTCGTACCGGCAGCCACCGCGCTCTTATGCAATGTTATCACCGATGCACTCGGTATGGCAGAGGAGAGTATCAACACCGCTACATCATAATTTAGTGTCGCCGCATTGTATGTTTTTGAAACCAGCGCGTTCTTGATCGTTCTCACCACTCCAGTGTCGCCCAAATTAATGGTGTCCGCGTGTACGCGCAGCGCCTTCACACTACCGCCCTTGACACAGTGCGCTGCCGTGAGTATAGCATTGTTTCGCACCAACGAACCGCCGCACTTGAACTCTCCCCGATAGTGCAGACGCACATAATATGGATATTTTTTTTGTGTCACCGCACTCCCGCCAACAATACGCTCGGACACTTGTTGCCCATAAATATGGCCAAATGCAAAATATAATATTAATTGCAAAACTAATTGTCGACTGAATTGACACATAGCATGTCACTGTCCTAACTGAGTATGTTCCGGTGTGCGCCTAGTGTTTTTATAGATATACACATCTATATACACCTGTGGAGTTTATCGAAATCGGCTTTTCGCTAGCTCAGTTTTTCAGTTCGTGACTCTTTATTTTGTGCGAACTTTATAAAAGCTTATATTGAATAATTTCGATACCCATAAGCATATCAGTTATCAGAACTACATATAATATACAAATATCTATATATCAGATGTTAAAGTCCCTATCATTTATTTATCTTTTTACACTCCCAAATGTGCTCTCAGTCATAACTAACGTTAGCGTTCCCGACGTGAAGCTTTCTATACATTACTTCAAGCCATAATCGAACCTCGCCTACAAAATTACTACTTTGAATAGTGAGAGTCGCTTTCAGTTTCCTAACAAAACTTGCAATAGAAGCAGTAATATTCAAGAAGCTTTTTTTTTTACCATAACATAAAGTTAAGATGTCGTCATACCACTAAGTGGCCTACCAACTAAAACATTCCCCCTTCTATCATGCAATTTTCCCCTACCGCCAGACTACTTACGCATTACTTGAGACAAGTTAAAGAAGTTTGATATATTTTTAAATTGACAAGAGAATAATGATGGTAAAAGTTGTAGACAAGTTGTTCTCAAAAATAGTTTCATGCTCGTAAAAAGGGTAAACTTTTGAGTAAACACAAGAATAAAGGCCAATCACAAGCCCGACTCACAGGAAATAACTCCTATTGACCAACGAATACGCTAAGATTTTATGAATGTTAGAAATACTTCCATTTTGGAACCCATTTCCCTAAAAGACAAATTTTACTACCATAATAGAAAAGAAAAAAGAAATTACAAACTAGTTCTCTTGGAATCCGTTCTAATTAGATAAAATATTTTTGTTATTATGACGGGTATAGAGGTATGGAATTTCTTCGCTTCGCCAAAACGTTCTAAACAGAAATGTCAAACATATGCGCTTACTTTGACAAAAGCCTGGCTGATAAATGCCTAAAAAAAGCAAAATAAAAATTTGAACAAAAAAACAATGTTTCTCAACCCAGGCTCGTTACCCTGGACCCAGCAATGGTCTATTTTCTTTAGCACCCTTAAAAAATTCTGCGCAATAGTAAATTTCTCTCCCGAAATGCTCTTTAAAACAACTTGTCTCACCCTTTATGCTTTTTTTTGCAATTCGAATATGAATCTGTATCAAGTATATATGCAAGTACAATAACTATTATTTGCTGAATTAAAAAAATTTGCATATATACATAAATGTAAGTATATATGCACATATATATGTACGCATATGGGATTTTTGCATTTGATTGATCAAAGCAATTAAAAAACTCATTAAATAATTTGTAAACATTGCATATTATTTCAAAGTACAATGGCTGCTGGAACAATACGCAAAATTTCATAACTTTGAATATATGTATAGTATATGGAATATAAATGTAGTGTTTGAACAACAACAAACAAGAAAACATTTACAAATAAGTCAACGAAGATTGTTTAAAAATATGTATATGAATTTAAACGATCTGAGCTATAAGATTGGGTGAGGCAAAACTTCCCAGCTACTGTCTTCCAAATAGTTTTCAACCCATCTTGCAACATAAAGCGGACGGTGTTCATGATGGAAAGTGATGGTCTCGTGACTAATTGTCAATTCCGGGCGATTTTCGGCAATCACTCGCTGCGATTTGATGAATTATTGTCGAAAGCGTTTTTCAGTAAGGGCTTCACCCGGTTTTGGAAGCTCATAATACAGCGCGCCCTTCCGATACCACCAAATACAGCTCATTAACTGGGCGTCAGGGATATTCAGTTTTCAGGGTTGTCGTAATGGGTCCATGTTTCATTACCAGCTATAATTCGATTCAAAAACGATTTATTTTCGTAACAACTCTTAGCTTCATTTCAAGTGGTATGTGTCACTCAAAGATTCTGCGTGCTCTTATTTTGTTTGGCAGCAGTTTTCAGCGCGTACTACTTAAAGTTACTCATTTTCAAACTTCCGTTTTCCGAGCTAAAATCACCACTTGTTAATCATGCAAACCACTTTTGTAACGTCACGCCGCTTAGCTAAAGCGTGCTTGCTATAAATTTCCACCAAAATGCGATCGGTTAAGGTTTTCTTTGCGGCATATGAGTTGACGAGATAAAAATTTTCGGCACTTATTTACGTACTAGCTAAGGCAGCAATTTACCACATCATTCATATGTATACTATATATAGATGATGAGTCGTAGATTTACGCGTTTGCGCTTTAAAGTAAAGATCAGTTAACATCGTTGTTTCAAGATCAGCCGATTCGAACAAAAATGGTTCGCGCACGAAGACTTCCAAACAAATGCGTGCCTGTTTTTTGGTGCAACTGGTTATACCTCAACCTTGCCACTAGAACGCCTCAGATAAATTCTGAGTGATACACGACCATCAGTTTGACAGTTGTCTTTCAAAAAATCAAGAAAACCAAGCGCCGCAGACGGTTCACTCTTCACCAAGGAATGCCTAACTCTCACACATCGACTGAAATAACTGCAATTTTGTGTACTCAAAACATCAACTTGATGAATCATAAACCATATAAAATAAGTTAACGTTTCCTGACACCTGAAACGGCGGTTGATGCCTTCAGAACGCATGTTTTGGAAAAAAATTATCACTTTTGCAGTTAAAATAATTTCGACAAATTATTACGACAAACCTGTCAGATAAAATTTATTAYTATTACAAAGTGGTATGTCTGTTTTCTTTTATTTTACATTTGTGTTATGATGTGTGCATTTTTCATAGATTTACTTCATCGTTATTGGTGATTCACTTCAAATACTCGATAATTCGATACTTAAAAAACTACTAAAATTCACTTAAACCGCTCAAGCGTTCTTTCAATAAAAGTATAAACCCTGCTGATATCGGTATAAACGCCTGGAAATCTGGAATCTGCACATTCAAAACCCCAGGATACAATACCAGCTAGCTGTCCCTTACACACCATTGGTCCACCGGAATCACCTGCACATGAATCTTTTCCCAACTCCCATGCACACAGCATATACCGCGTAATGCGTGCAACACCTGCGTATCTACGTTGGCAAGCGGTACGACTCAACACCGGTATCCGAACTTCTTGTAGTTGTACCGGATTATATTCACTTTCCTTTGTGCTCCCATGACCAATAACCACACATTTCGTACCAGCAGTCACTGCAGTCTTTTGCAATTGAATTGCTGTGAAACTAGTATTTGGTACGGCAGAGACGAGTATTAACACTGCAACATCGTAGTTCGAGGTGCGTTCATTGTATAAATTCGAGATCACCACATGTTTAACTTTTCTCACAATTCCTTCATCCCTTAAACTAATGGTGTCCGCGTGTACTCGCAATTCGTTAACGTTAGCGTCGCTGACACAGTGAGCTGCTGTGACCACCGCATTATTCCGCACCAACGATCCACCACACAAGAATACATCTTGGTAATACAAACGCACAAAATAGGTGTATTTCTTCTCTGTGACCGAGGTGCCACCCACAATTCTCTCGCCAATACCTGTGCAAGGCAATTGGTGCCATGATAGATATATCACCAGTTGGAAAATTAACTTTAGTTTGAAATCCATAGCGTAGTCTTTTGAAACTGAGTACATTCGCAGCCGAGTATTATGTATTTATTAAAGTCAAACCTAAACTCGTTTTTCCGCACGAAAGAAAGTTATTTAGATTTATTTTGACAAGTTTTAACATTCAACATTATATGTGCTTTTAATTATCTCATAAATGTTTTAAGTATTGGTTAGTGACTTCAAACTCATTGGTTCATAGCACTGAAAGTCCCGAGCAATATCGTTGATAACAGTGTAGAAGTCGTTAAAAATTGTTCGAGCCGTTGTCCCGTTTGTTCGAGCATTCATCTATACCTGGAATTCTCATCATGTTTAAGCGAACCTGTGTTTAATGGAAGTTGAAATTTGTTCTACCATATATAACCTACTCACTCCTAAGCTTAAACTACGGGATTAAAAAGTCTTGCTCGTATTACCTTCTCTAGTATGACGTATGTAAAAATTGCTCATTATTTCGGATCACGTTTCCCTCGTGCGCAATTAGTTTTATTATGTTAAAGAAAAATTAGAGAAAGTTATGAAACTAACGAGCAATTAAACATCAATTAACAAGTACGTCATTTGCACTATGGAATAGTTCGATATTTGTCAATGTATATATTTTTAACTATATAATTCCTTTATGTAACAAGTTTTCCGATATGAATGTTCTTATTCTTATAGGATATAGGTAAGGTACTCGCTTCCCAAAGCAAGAAGGACTTAAGTGGCAAATACCACTGGCTCTCTCCGAAGGGACGGCCTTACCACACGTGTAAAATTCACTAGGTAGTTCAAGGTTACCCTCAGCAGTAAGGCTGAATCGAACGATTGCTCTCTCGAGCTACTGCTTAGGGATAATACAATCAAGTGGTACACGAACGGCTCGAACACGTTGGAGGGAATTTGCGCAGAAGTCGCAGGACCATGCACCGAACTCTCCATACTTATGGATTTTGAGCATATTCCAAGCAGAAGCCTTTGCTATATAAGTCGGTGCACAGAGATAAACCTCCAATGCAACTATTGCAACTGGCGAATAGTTATACTCAGCGTCAGTCAGGCGGCACCTAAAGCGATCTCTGCCTACGAGATCAAATCGTTATTGGTGCAGGAGTTTATAGAACGACTGAATATGCTTTCAGATCATAACCAAGTGCACCTTATCTGGGTGCGCGGTCACAATGGTATAGCCGGGAATGAACTGGCTGATGAGCCCGTCCGCTTCACAGCATCCACCAACATGGTAGGACCCGAATTTTCCATTACGATTGGTCCCCATACCATAAAAAAGCTGTTCCGCAAGAATGAAGGAGTGGGTAGGAAGAGATATTGACAACAACTGTAAGACTTGCGCCACGCCAAGTTGCTATTGGGTGGTTATAAAGAAATACGTAATTAGCCTTCTAATAGATAAACTCAGACCTTTTACACTGGCCATTGTAAATTCAAAAAGCGCTTATATAGCATGGACCTAGCTTCTTATGCGAATTGTCGGTTCTGCGACATGGAGCCTGAAACACCAACACATCTGCTAGTTGACTGCTTAGAGAGTCTGTAGGCGTAGGATAAAAGCTCTCGAATCCATGTTTCCAAATTGGTATGACACAATAGCACCGACAACAGTATATTGGAATATATCAATATGCTAGGGGTAGGTGAGTCGTTGTGACTTAGCAAGATCTAATAGACCTCAGTAAGACTAACGGGTTTCATGTGATGGGTTTTCTATAATTTAACATAATTATGCACTTAAGATACTGGTGAAATGTAAGCTATCTTTGCAAGTTTTGCTTTTCTACTTTGAAAGGATACTTAAGGCAGGCTGTCAAATCTTGCAAAAGAAATAATTGCTAAAGGCCCATGAAACGCTGTCAAAAAAGATTTTTCGATGCTTTGCAAGTAGAGAAGTAGAAGTAAACTTTCTTTTCAAGGCAATACCTTGCCTGTTAAATTCCGGTACTAGAGAAAAAACATCGATTCATCGAAAATTGCTCAAATGTTTTTCAAAATATTATGTTTTTGCATGCCTTTGAACCAATTGTCGAAGCACTTTTACCACTCTGAGGTATTTCCAAAACATGCGTTCTGAACGTATCAACCGTCTCTCAAGATGACTCATCAAATCGATGTTTTGAGTGCTCAAAAATGCAATTGATTCAGGCGATGTATGAGAGCTCGTATTGTCGTGGTGAAGAGAGATACATGTTCGGTGGTTTCTTTTCCTGATTTCTTGAAAAACAACAGACAAGCAAATGGTTATATCACATTGCGCATAGCATCAATAGTTTCCGTAAAAATAATTTATTCTGATTTTTTTCAAGAAATTCGTCTTGAATTGATTTATGACCTCAATTGAATTCATCATACCATCGATAAACGCTGGTCCTTGGTGGAGCTTCGAACAAAATTGAATTAAGTTAATCGATGCAATATTACTGAGATAATCCATGTCGAAAGTTGTTAAAAACAATCGCAAGAAAATGTTCACGATTGAATATTCTAAGTTACTATAATCAGCACAAACATCGCTCGTATGACAAAACATTTTGAGTATATACATATGTACAATTGCCAGATTGTAATTGGACTACTTTTAGTCGTCTCTTGATATATTTTGCTTCTATTCATCACAACAAAACAAACGTGTAGTGAGTTTATAAGTATATTCCTGTCGCGTTTTGAATGTTTATTAAGGGAAAACATCTACAATAGTTTTATGCAAAGTAGTGCTCAACTGAATATATAACATTTTCCCATCTGTATGGCAATTTATGGGTTCCAACCCAAAATAAATGCGCCGCTTTGACGGCTAAGAATGAAATCAAACAATTTTTGTTACCGTATCCAGTAAGGGCATTCTGTATCGGCACTCCAAAGGGACAATAAGTTGAATAAGGCAAAACATCCCAGCCCCAGTTTTCCAAATAGTTTTTAACCCTTCTTGCAACATGAGGCAGAGCATTACCATGATGGCATATTATTGGCTCGTCTCAATTTGTTGAGTTGTCGATAGCATTCCTCATCAATGGTTGCGCCTGGTTTTAGACGCTCATAAGATAGCACGCACTTCTGATCCAAGCAACTACTGAGCATTACCTTACTGTCATTAATTTTCGGCTTACCGTTGATTTGGCTTTTTGGCTAGCTTTTATATGAGTTTTTCCGTTTATGGTTGTCCTAATAGATTCATTTTCATACTCACAATCCGCCGTTCCTTTTCTTACTTTTGGCTGTATCCGGCACTCCCAAACTCCCAAAGATTCTGCGAGCGCTTCTTGTGTTTGGCAGCAACCTTCATCGAATATTCCTTCCAGATGTTTATCTTCCACCTTTTTTGTCCATCCAGGACGTTCTTCGTCGCCAAGCCAAAATCACCAATTTTAAATCGTGCATTTGGCACGTTTGCTCAGATAGAGCATGTTCACCACAAACTTCCACCCAAATACGCTGAATTCGGGTGAGATTTTCTTCATATTAAAATAATGAAGAAGACCCACTTGCTAAAACACGAAAGTATGGAATGTACTCTTGAATTCAGCATCATTTCTGCTTCCAAACTCCGAAGTTTTACTTCCAAAAATATGTCAGTTTTGTTGATCTTCTCCAGTGTCGTCAAATAATTAAATTCATATCACTTACTTATGGCCGAGTAAATAGAAGACCAGAGTGAGATGAACTCATATTATCCATATTGCTTTAAGAGCAATCTATTCAAGAATGTTATTAGAGGAGCACCCTTACTCAAAACACGCTCACATCAAAGATTGGAGCTGTTTCAAACAAATTATATAAGATGACGTCTTCAAAATCCCAATTTAAATGAAAGAGCGTGATCTTCAACTCAGTTGACGATATGCACGTTCGTTTCGTCACTGTTTAATTTTCTAAAAATAAAAAAATTCGGCAATCTACTATATTATTTCAGTCTCATTTTATTTGTATTAAAGTWAATATGTAAATAAAAGTAATAGAGATATTATTATATTTATTATTATATATATATAGTATATTCCCGATAACCCAACCTATGCTAAATTAAATTTAATGCGTGTACTTGACAAATTTTCATAGCCGTCTAACAGTGTTTGTACAGTACAGACATAATCCACTTCTTAACCATATTTAATCTCACATAAACACCCGGCGAATCGGCGCGACCACATTCACGCCCTTTACCCCACGACACAACACCGACAAGGCGACCGCGCGCCACTGCAGGCCCACCAGAATCTGCCAAACATGCATCTTTTTCACCCGGCACCGATGCACAGAACATCGTGTCGGTTACATTGCGATAATCATCATAGAATGCTTTACATTGCGCCTGCTCTAAAACACGAAGACGCACCGTGTGCATATGATTCGGTGGTAGGGCAGCATGCTCATGCGTGAGACCCCAACCGGAAACGGTTACGTATTCGCCTTGTGCAAGCGCAAAGTCACCTATTGCTATCGGTTTGATATTCACACCTTGTAGTTTAGTATTCAGACGCATAATGGCCACATCATGCTCGAATGTACGATTATTATACTCGGGCGGTACGAAAACCTGTTCAATTGTACGCCAATTTCCCACATCAGACAACAGCGTATTTCCACCGCGCACAACAAAATCGTTCGGCGAATTGTGGCCGATGCAATGGGCTGCCGTTAAAACACAACGTGACGTCACCAGCGAGCCACCACAATGGAAGTAGCGATTCAAACGTATATTCACCAAATGTGGCACTTGTTCGACACGTGCCAGCTCACCGCCGACAATGCGTCGTTCACGTTGTATTTCGCCGCTAATTGCCGGATACGCCAAAGTCCTTTGAATGAGCAATACAAAGAGGACCGTGGACGAGAGTCTCATTTTGGTGCGCTTAAAGTACCGCTAAGCTTATTCACAACTGCAACTCAACTAATGTAAAATATAGACAACAATTCCGTTTTTTATAATGCCTAACAATTAAATAAATATTTGCTGCCAAGGTCAATTTGTGTAGGCCTTGTTATTCAAGTTCCAAAATAAA